GGTAACATTAAAAAAAGTAGTTATATGAAAACTGGAATATGAAAAGAAGTAGAGCCACATAATAAAAACATTTTGTAAAATGGAGAGCAACATTTACAAAACTGTAGACAGGAGAGGCAGAGGGCCTCCAATCTGTCACATCATCGTTAGAACTTTGGGAATTCTTCATGTTATGTTTTATACATTTTCTATGTGCTTATCTAGAAATACCAAATGATTTGCAAATATATACATAGCCATGAGTAGATGGTCATTGCAAATCTGACTTAAACTGGATTTGACTTGTATCTGAATAGGTAACTTGCCTGGGACTTCTACTTGGATTTTCAGACTTGAGAGGCTGAACATTTGAAGGCGTGACCAGTTTTGTGCGGTGGTGAAGATCAGGGAATGGGAAAAGCCATTCATGCTCTTCTCTCAGAATGTCCTTCTGTCTTAAATAGATTGTCTTTTGTAGGGTAACTATAGTGGGTAATGCTGTGAAGAAAAACATTTGGGTGACAATTTTTAAAGGAATGAAACAGCTGAAGAGAAAATAGCAGCATCTTTCTCTTGCCCCATGGTTTTCCTGTTGTTGCTTTTGTGTGTGTGTGTGTGTTTAAAAATGTACAGGATAAAGCCAGGGATGGATTGATGCTTTGTCACACCTAGAGTTGAGCTTTTGTTCAGGGTATCTACTGTAGAAAACTCATGTTTGCCTGACATAATCTGGAATACAGCTTTCAAGATGTGAAGGCTGTAGTCTTGTGCATCTTTTTGGGGAAGTAAATTCCATTGAGATCTATGGGATTTCATGCAGGACCTACAGTGAATAAGTTTGCGTGTCATTCATGGTCTTTTTTTAAAAACTAGATTGCTATACACTCTTGTTCTGGTGCTGTTTAGATAGAACCTTAGTACATGAATCGGAAACTCCAATCCAGCTTTTTCTAAATGGGTGTCTTCCAGGTCTCTGGAGTTCAAAGTCCCATCCATAGTTCACCTGCACGAAGGTTGTAGTTCAGGAGAATTGGAGAGCATTAAGTTGCCCCATTTCTAATGATGCCAATCCTGGTGTCCTCCTGATGCCGTTGTCAGTGGTTGTCTTGACTGGAAACTCCTGGGAGTTACTTTGTGCTATCAGCAACATCATCGCACAATTTTAAAGAAGTCTGAATGCTCTGATTTCCAAGGTGCATGTACCTCCATAGCACATGTGGCAAATGTACTTTTTAATATGGCAAACTGAAAGAGAGATCCTAACATAATGTGCTAGAAAAACCATACTGTAGATTAGAAACCTATTATTTAATCTGTGCTGAACCTTTCTTCTCCCAGCCTCCCCCCCCCCCATTGGTAACAAACCTAGGTAGCTATTAATAGCCATTTTACAGTATATTAAAGCACACATCATTTTAGGAATATTCACAATAGACAAAATACACATTCCTAGCAAGTAAGACAGAAATGTAAACTCACATTCTTAATTTGCATTGACTTTAAGTCTTTGGGCCATGAAACAGAAATTAAGCACCCTGGACCCAAACCTGAACCTTTAGTGGGGCAGGCTCCACAGCTGATCCTAAATGGCTTTGGTCATATTATATATTTAAAGCCTTGTGCTTATAATATAGAAAAGGAATTGCACTGGCTTCTTGAATGCTGTCTGGAATACACAAGTCAGTAAAGAATTAATAAAGTATCACAAGCATTTCCTTCCTCCAATTGGACTTGTAAAAATTTCTTACTGTTGCTTATTCCTGCTCAATTATTTTCTGCCCTAAAAAAAAAAAAACCACCAAAGAGGGATTTGAGTGACCGATGAATGAAGCATGAGTATACAGTAGTCTGTTTGTGTTAGCTACAGGTATCTAGTCTGATGGCTGGTGATGGTTTCCTAAATTTGTTTGGTTTCTATGTTGCAGGCAGCCAGGATTTGCTTTAGCACCAAGGTTTTTCCAACGTGCATAAAGAGGAAGCTTCTGATAAACAAGTAATTCCTCATGGTATACAGCATCTCATTTCAAAGTAAAGGCTCTCTATGTTGCATTCGGTCTTGTACACTTTCTTTTAACAGCTTTAAAGAAGAATGTCTAAGTATTTCATTATACAACTATGTTCCTTGGATTTTCAGCACCTGTCTTTCTCATGACAATGTCCTGTGAACCAAGAACAGCATCCTCTCCGGATAATGTGATGATGATATATAGGCTTCCTATGAAGATATTTAAAGTTACTAACATGATGGTGTGGGTTTTTTAAAGTTAGGGTTACTCAATAGGTGTTGAATTGTTTATGTTGCCAGCGTGCAGAAGGGAGATTGGAATCCGTTGCTAGATATTTAGCTGAACTACAGCATCTCAAAAAGAGATTCCCATTATTTACAAAAGCAAGAAAGTAGTCTTTCCATTAAAATTAATCTCCTGAAATACCATCTTAGAAATCAAAGAGTGACCCTTCACATGTCATTAGTGATTAAAGCAGCTTATAAACTTAATAAATAATACAGTTAAATATGAAAACATTACTAGCTGGTTCAGTTTGGGTACTGAAAATAAAAACCCCAGCTTAGAATTATGTTAGCCTTCTAAACACAAAGATCCCGCAAGTGTGAAGCCTACCTTTCTTGTTGTGATCTTTGCAATGAATGGCCAGCATACACACAATAGACAGCAAGGCTATTTATCTAGTTTTCCAAGCTACGAAACACTTGTTACTGTTTGTTCTGTAAAATTCAGGAAGCTTTTGAGGTTATTGTTTAACTATTGAGTTTTGTTATTGGTTTCTACCTATGCCTACCTATCCCCTGCTGAGATTCCTGCCCACTTCTGTGACTTAATTTCTGTGAGTAATTCTGCTGAGTCACCTATTTTTATTTGTATAAAGGGGTAGGGCACAGGAGTACTTTAATATTTTAAGAACTCATCTTTTACTTTTAGAACCTATATTTTATTCATATTGCCTTATTTTATGATCATGGTCTTCAGAGATGGCAATCTAAAAGCTGTCAGTAGGTGTGCTTGTAAAACAGTCAAAAGTAATGAGCAATGACAACTAACAGCAATGGAATTTCAAAGACACTTCATTGCTGTATAGCGGAAAGAATCAAAACCACAGAATAATTGGAAAATAACATGTATATTATTGCTTAAAGGCAAACTTGTCCATTGTATGCACATCTAACAGGACAAGAGGAATCAAAAGAGTCAACTGCAGGGTGGAATAGGAATTTCTATACATTTGCTATAACTGGGTACTGCTGGACTCTTCAACCATGTATGAATTTGGGTAAGCATTATGTTAATTGATAAACTCTAGAGCAGCATTTCTCAGTCTCGGCCACTTTATGTGGACTTCAGATATGTGGACTTCAGGTTCCAGAATTCCTCAGCCAACCATGCTGGCTGGCAGATTCTGGATGTTGAAGTCCAGACATCTTGAAATTCCAAGGTTGAACAACACTGCTCTAGAGCAGGGGTGCCCAATCAGTGGTGCTATTCTACCAGTTCAGCCCAGTTCTGGCATACCGGTAGCACCAAAGATCAGTGGAGACCAAACCGGTTTGCTCTGATGATCTGCTGTTGGGCCCACCCTCCCCATACTGGCTCCCATACTGAAATTTATTCCCTGCTTTTGAAGCGCAGCTGCTTTGTGCGGCACAGCAGATTGCCACATGTCAGCTGTTGAAGCCACACGGAGAGTGCAGGATTGCAGGAAGTGAGTAGGAATGCCTCTGCGCATGCACAAAGTGTGTGTTTGGTGAGCGCAAGAAGCGCGCCCAACAAACAAACCCACCAAACTAGTGATGAACTGCTTTGCAACCCACCACTGTGCCCAGTCCCTGGGCTGCAGACCAGTACTGCTCCATGGACTGTAGGTATCAGACAGCACAACTGGAGGTGAGCAGCAGGTGAGTGAAACTGCATATGCATGGATCTACATCCGTGATGGCGAACCTATGGCACGCATGCCACAGGTGGCAGGCGGAGCCATTTGTGCCAGCATGCAAGCTGCAGGCAAACTTACCTCAATACGCATGCGCATGTTTCACAGCTGATTTTTTTTTGCCAGTTTGAGGCCTTTTTCGGCCTCCCAAAGGCTTGAGGAAGACTTCTGCAGGCTTTGCATGCCTAAAACTAGCCCCGTTTCATCACGGCCTGTTTTTCTGAAAATACCAGAAGTGGTGAAACAGGGCTAGTTTTCCGCCTGCAAAGCCTGCAGCAACCTTCCTCAAGCCTCTGGGAGGCCGAAAAAGGCCTCAAATGGCTGAACATCAACTGTGAGGCGCAGTGCAGATAAGGGGGCAGCAGGGGTGGGTGGGTGGGTGGGTATTGCGCATGCATGTGGAGGGGGCGTGGAGGGGGCACACATTGCCTTCTGGGTGCTGGCACATGAGTGCATGTGTGCAAGCACACACACAATTTTTGGCACAGGAGCCCAAAAAGGTTAGCCACCACTGATCTAGGTTGTGTGCTCCTCACCCGCCCACCCACTCCCCAGTCCATAGAAAAATTGTCTTCCATGAAACCAGTCCCTGGTGCCAAACAGGTTGGGGACCACTCCTGTAGAGCATGGGCACCAGTTGGTCTAGGGATCAAATCTTAACCTATACTAGTTCTTTCTTGAGTTACAGCCCTGAGGTAGTGCTTCTTTACAGAAAATGATGAGAATGTTCTAGATTTCTTGTCATAATCCAGATATTGTCACATTTCATGTTTTTCTTTGTATATTAAATGTTTGTATTGAAGCTATTTATAGAGTTTATAAATGGATAATACTGTACCCTAAATTGGCTGCTTTGTCTTCAATCAAGTACGTGTCAGGTGTACGATTGCCCGCCCTCCCCATTGCATGGAATCATGAAACTTTAGTTTTTCAGAGGGATGTCTTAGTTAAGGGTGTTAGGTTTTACTGATATGGTTGGCCTTGATTTTATATGGTTGACTCTCTTTTTGCAATTGTAAACTTTCATTCTTATATAGTTCAAAGATCTACGAATATTAAATAATGGGAAAATGTCTTCCTTTTTTGGGAGGGGATGCTTTTGAGTCAGTTTTTTTATTCCTAGTGGCTGCTTGAGCAAACCCTGCAGGTTTCTTCACAAGAATTCAGAAGTGGTTTCCCACACCTGCTTCCTCGGTCTGAGACAGAGTGACTGGCCCAAAATCACCCAGCTGGCTTTGCTCCTAAGGCAGGAGTAGAACTCCCTGTCTTCTGGTTTCCAGCCTGTGCTTTAACCACTGCACCAACCTGCCTCATTATCTTCCATTACTGGAAAAATAAACAACGATCAACTGTATATAAAAGGATGGAAAGAAAGGCAAGGGCTGAATTAAGATTCCTTTGCTGCTTTTTTTTTTTTTTTGAGCAGAACTGAAGGGAAAGGAACTGTCTGAGTGGACTAACAATGTGTACATGCTGACTTTAAACTCTACTTGGATGTTAAGCTATGGATTCTAAGTCTGGTCAATTTTCTGTCAGCATGCATGTATTAACAAACCTATTAGTGTTCACCTACAATGATAATCCACTCATTTTATTGATATATGATTTACTAAAGCAAGACAGATAACAGATGACCCATCAAGCAATCTTCATTGTTGAGATAGTGAGCAGATAATCCATGCTAGCCTTTCATTGGCCTATGGTTGTAAGCAGTGATGGGAATGTGCTTGAAAATCTTTGCCTCCATGTTCTTCTGTGTATATTAATGCAGAGAAAAGCAAAAAGGGAAATTAATGACTTTTTGGTTAGTGGAGAATTTTTTCAAACCTTCCAATTCCTTCTTGGAATAATTTGTTCGTTTAAAAAGCAGCTACAAAGCATGTTTACAGCATGGGCTTTTCCCCCTAGTGAATCTATCCTATTTAAAGGTGAAAATATGACAAAGCAAATTAAGGAAAAGGCAAAGAGACGAAGGGGACAGCAACAGGGGGGAAAAAGGACATACTGGAACACCAAAACTGGAATGACACTTAAAAGAAAATCCAGAGGACAGTAACAGAAAGGTGATTACATATTTTCTGAAGAATAAATCTGACTGATGCAATTGCTTGTTTCTTAGTGGCCTAAATTTCTTCCCTAGGAGATCTTTCCATTTGACTCCATGGTCCTATGGAATACAAAGGAAGAGAAGACCGATGTGCTTTGCAGGCAGCTGCTAGAATTGTTGTTGTGTATCTATATGGATGGATTCAGACATTAGTACTTGAACGTTATTACACTGATTTCAAGAGTAAGAATTCCCATTGTTTACAGCCAGGTCTGATGGGACATCAAAACCCTTTCTTCACGCTTTCCCCAAAGACCTCTCATTCCGTGACACCATGTTGAGAGTCCAAAACATGTCCCTGGGCCGAGGTGCTAAGCTGGCTAAAACCAAATGCTAAGACATGGCTGTCCCACATCTTCTCTATCATTTTGAGAAAGGGCTCCCTGTATTTTGAGGACTGGTGAAATCGGGCTAGGCGGAACATTTCTATTTGTCAACAGCTTGCAGAGATTAAACTCCGCCTCAAACTAAGCCACAGTCTGTGCAAAAGGGAGCCGTTCCTTTCTTTGTTTTTCTTGCCATTTAGAGAGAAGAATTTATTTTGTCGGAGCAAGTCTTGAGTTCCACGATGATACCATTTTGAGTGGTGTGACAAAACTAGGGGGAATCCACAATTTTTCCATAGAGGATTATACAGTTTATTTTACATAGAAAAAATATGACAACAGGATGGAGGGCCCTCTCGTTCGTCTCTTGGAGAGGTGGTTGATGGACCCTGAAGATGATGTTTATGCACAGTAGGTGTCTACCTTGACAACCTGACAATACATGGTCATTGCAAATGTCAGTCCAAGAATCTGTAGATACAAAAATCATCGTCAGCATTAAAACAGCATGCAACTTTCCCTTTGGTCTTTCATGATATATGCACAGTTGCATACTATGGTTCCAGAAGGATCCTGCATTTCCCATGCCACCCCAGGGTATATACAAATTCTACATAACACAGTTCTGCATAATCAGCAGGGCATACTCAATTTGGGGCTGACCTAATGGAAAAGCCAAAGGAGAGTGATGAGATTTCTTCACAATCAAAAAGAAAAGGGAGGAAAGAAACCTGGATTGTAACTCAATCGTAGCTTTGTTCAATATTGATGGGGGAAAAAATCTTTAGATTAGATAATTTGGGAGAGTCTCTCCTTTTGAATAGTATAATAGAGATGGAAGGAACCTTGGAGGTCTTCTTGTCCAACCCACTGCTCAGGCAAGAAACCCTATACCAGAGGTCTCCAAACTTGGCAAGAGCTGGCAGGAGAATTCTGGGAGTTGAAGTCCACAAGTCTTAAACTTGCCAAGTTTGGAGACCTCTGCTCTATACTATTTCAGACCAATGGTTGTTCAATCTCTTCTTAAAAACCTCCAGTGTTGGAGCACCCACAGTTTAAGAAACTAGATGTTCCACTGATTAATTGTTCTAACTGTCATCCCAAAGGTGCTTTTCTTAAAGGCAAGGCATTTTGTTTCTCATCCAGCAAGCTTCTTTCATTCTGACTGAATCAAGCTTATTGGATGGGGAGTGAAACATCTTCAAGGAAATCAAAGAAAGTCCCGTTGCCTTTAGGAAAAGCACCTTTGGGACAGCCATGACCTGGATGATTGAGAATCTCCATAAATATTTGTTCTAACTGTCAGGAAATTATTCCTTCATTCCAGGATGCTTCTCTCCTTGATTAGTTGCCGTCTACTTTTATCTTGCTTGACTGTCTATGCCATTATTTTGCTTGGGCGTTCTGCTTCCTCGTGGACTTTCTGCCCAGGGAAAAGAGTATTTTGGAGACAACAGTTAGTCAGGCTAGGTGTTTACTCCATCTGTAGGCATTGCCAAAGGACACCTGAAACCTCCATATTCTGTCTGCCAAACTTTCTCCTCAGTCTTTTGCCCATGTACAAAAGAAGCAAGGGCTTGTGCTACATGGTCTGGCCTTCTCTTTACGTTGCTCTGTGTAAAGTTATGTGTGTCCATTATGGCTTTTAGACTTGTTCTTGTGTGAGTACTGTAAATAATTTGCACAAGACTGTACGCTATCAAATGGTTGATGTACAGTACTTCCTTTAGCTGAGATATCCTGAGAACTGAAATTTTCTGAAGCATGTTATGGAACTCTAACAGAGAATGGGTAGCTCTGTATCTAATTTTCATTTTCTACTATTTACTGGGGAAACCATGACAAATAATCAGGTATAAAAATAACAGAGGATTACAAAGTAGAAATGTATTTTATCTACTCTAATTCTGGAGAGTTGGGCATAGTTAAACCCACTGGTTTCAACAGGATTAGCCTCCTCAATTCTGTATTAAATTGTGACATTAATTTGGAGAGTGGGGAAAATCCTACAACCCTTCAGGATTAATTCTAAATGGTAATGACAAGTTTAAATAGCTGGGGTGTAAGTTAACAACATATTTGCCTATTTTGACTCAAATGTGGTACAACGTAAATGGTTTTAATCCCAGTTCTTGTTTGTTAATTTTAAGCAGCTTTATACTGTTCTTAGGATCTCAAAACAACTTTCTAAGGATTGGAGGAAAAGATTTAAAGTGTAGGAGGCAGTGAAGTGATCAAGTAAAATATGCTAATTATTGGACAGCACTGCTTTCAAATAAAAATTCATTATGAGGGATCTCTTACTGTTTAGGCTAAGGCACAATAAGTCAATTACTATTCCCCATTAACTTAAGCTCTACCAACTTTATGTAGAAACCATTGCTATTTAATATCAGCAGATACTCTAATTAAACCAAGGAAGGATCATTAAACACCCAGGACATAAGTAGGAATAAACAAAACAGTATTCAACATAAAGAAGACAACTTTTCTTTAGATCAATCTTCTTGCTGTTCTGATATAATCCCGAACCAATTTATCAACAAATAAATTCAATGGAATTTCCTTTGGAGAAAGATTTATAGGATTTTGCTATTAATACCAGGTTATATTTGTGAAAGATAAACTGAGATGCAATTAAATCCTTCACGGTGGTAAAACAAACAGAAAGCGCACAGGAAATACCTGAACCAATGCTGTGCACAATCCAAAAATTCCGACTGCTAACAGGTTCTCCTGAAGCCATAATTTCACTGTTTCGTAGCAAGGCTAGAGAGAGGGGAAAAAACATTATGCTATAAGGAAGCCAATGGCCTAAGGAGAACCTACAACTCATATCAAACTTGGTAATCGGCAGTGTCAATTTAAGCTTTCCAGTGGAGATGAAAAGCACCTCTGGGGATTTTCTTGCAATGAAATATGTCTTTAAAGGCCTAGAAAAACTGTACAACTGAAGATCAAGTGGATACTCTGTGCAAGATTCATGAACAAAAAAAAAGAAGAAGAAGAAGAATGTCTGCTTCTCATGTATGGCCTACAAATCAGACTGCTGTGTTTCTAAACCAAATAGTAAATCTCAGTGCTTTAAACAGAAATGCTGGGCAAGAATGTGAGAAGGCAATTATAGACCAATTATTGCTTAAACAAATCATCACCCAAATACTTCACCTTGCTTTCTAGCAACCACAAAGTAATCAGATGACATTACATTTGTTTTAACATGTTAGTCCCAGTGTCAGTATGTCAAATTTTAGCACTGATAATTTCCTAGGAGGATTTGCCAGCCCGACTCATAAAGACAAGAGGTTTTAAAATAACAATTGAATCAACGGTAGGATTTACTTTTAGTTTTGATACATTCCTGTAACAGATCACCTTGGACTTATTTTTCAGCATAACTTTTTGAGTATTCTCATGAAGGGTTTTGGTTGAACTTGAGTCTGTGAGCCCAATACTCTATCTACACTCTGGTAACTTCCTGTATACCTGGGTGGATTCCAGAGTACTTTCTGAATGCAGGAATGCAGAAATATACTACTTTTTTCCCCTGCTGTACAAAACCTGGGAGTACTGATTATTTCCTCAGAACTGTTTTCCCAGAGATGATTGGTGTCTGCTGTGACAACAGGCCAGTTGATGTCAGCCACCACTGCAGACCTAATGTTGCATATACAATCTCCTGAACTGGCAACACAAAAGTAGGCAGTCCTGTCTTATACTGTGAAGTCTTGTCTTCTTGTTTCCTGGTCTCATACTGAGCACATTCTGTGAGATGCTAAAGTTTGCTCCTAAGATTCACAGAATGGGATTCTGTCTCAATGCTGCAGTTCTCTGGAACTTTTATACACAGACACCCACTACAAGGGTGTCAAACTGGAGGCCCATGGGCCGTATGCATCATGCGTGGCCACACCCACCCCAGCTCCGCTAATGGGAAAAATGTCACATGAAGGCAACACGATGCAGCAAGTTTGACACCCGGGTACTAGTAGGAAGGAACCTCTACTCCAAAACAATACTTGAAGATTGTTGGATGTGAAGAGGAAAAGCATAATCAGAAAAAAAAAATGCCACTCCTTTCTCTGCAGAACCTTTGGTTCCAGTGAAAGTGGCCTTTTTGTTTTATGAAATTACATGGCTGGTGGCTAAATAAACAATAGAGCAAGCCAAGACTTTTAAATATCTGGGGATTCTTTTCTCTGCTATGTATGGGCCACTGAAAATACCCTACCAATTATGTTACCCTAAACATACACACAAAAAAAACCATCATTGGTTTTATCATCTTTCTACTTCTTCAAAGGACCTCACCATATACCCAGAGCAATTAAACCCTTGGTGGGCAAGATCTGAACCCAGCTCCTTTTAGAGTCCAGTTGGGTGCCTACAGGTCATTCCCTTCTCTTTAAGGAGTTCCATCCAGCTCCCTGAAATCAATTTTTTCAGCTACCCCACTGTGTTCTGAACATGGTGGTTTGCTGTGAAATCGGTCTTCTTAAAATATTCATTTTCTCCTATTGGCTTAAGATCCCTTTTATTAGTTGGCTTGGTCCCTCTGATTATGACTGATCACCTTTAATCTTCCTAGTGCTAAGAAACACATGCCAGATTGCAACTTTATGGCTTTTTATGGCCAGCCATCACTGTAGCCATGGGTTATGAACATACACTACCTGTCCTTAAATAATGGACCATTGATTTAAAACTGCAAGCAATGTATGAGTTCTACCTAGAAATATCTTCCTAAGTCACTGAACATTTGCCCCAACTAGCTGGATATCAGTCACATAATGACTCTAAAATTTAGAAGGGCCTTCACCAATAACTTTTGCCTTTTTTATCCTAAATAATTAATATGTTCTTGTTTTATTTGCTGGTGAATTACTAAATAAAATTTTGTTATTTAATGGAGTAGCTACTCAACATTCTGGTCTACATAAAAAGACTACTTTAATTTTTACGACAATCAATATTCAGCAAATATTGTTTTGGAAGAAACAACTCCAAGGAGTTCACTATTAGGTTACTTCTGCAGTATATTCACCACTACCATTTAAGATGGCTGCTGGTTGTCATAGTGATTCAACTTATTTTCAGTGATCATAGAACATTTAGACAGGCACTCTAATTTTGCCTTTCCTATCAAAGATACTTCAGAATAACCTTGTTCGTACATCAACTTGGCACCGAGCTGAGGAAAAGGAGCAGTTTCAAAAAAATACCCCCTGGTTCATGTAGGCCCTCATGTCCAACCGCCTGCTAAATGCAGAAATCTATATTTTCAGCAATTGAAAAATAATAATCAGCATGTCCCAAAGGTGTTTTACCAAAAGGCAACGTTTGTTTTTCCTTTTGAAAAAACACCTTTGGGACAACCATGACCTGGATGACAGAGAATCTCCATAGACAATAGTCTGCATGCATACATGTAGTGAAAGAATCCACTTAGGGAAAAACAAAGTAGAAAAAAGACCACAAGGGCAAAATAAAGATTTTATAAGCTCTTCCTGTGCTCCCAAAAGTGCTTTCTTTCAAAAGGCAACTGGACTTGGTTTTTTCTTTCTTTCTTTTTTCTTCTCATCCAAGAAGCTTCTTCAGCTGTTCTTCAGCTCAGAGCTGAAGAAGCTTCTTGGATAAGAAATGAAATGTCTTCAAGGAAAAAACCAAGTCCTGTTGCCTTTTGACAAAAGCACCTTTGGGACAACCATTACCTGGATGTCTGAGAATCTTCATAAACTTATCCCTGTTCTCTGCTTCAGGTGAACCACCACTTCAATTTACCTTTCCCCAGAGGTGGGATCCGACAGGGTTAACTACTGGTTCAGTGATTTACAATGTGCTTCCCTGCATGCTGTGTGCGTGTGTAAATATTAATCAGCTTGCTGCCTGGACAGCTGAGCAGCGCTGCATGCAGGGAAGCAGCGTTTGAAAAAGCACTTTTTTCCTGCTTTTTCAACCACAGCTGTGCCTCTGCAGCTGAGGTTGAAAAAGCAGAAAATAAAGGTCAGGTAAGAGCCCAGGCGAGCGGGTGGGCCAAAACAGCAGCAGACATAGAACCGGTTCTATGTCTGCTGCTCTTCAGAACTGGTTCTACAGAGCCGGACAGAACCGGTAGAATCCCACCCCTGCCTTTCCCTCTTTCTTTTCCAATCTATGTGCCTCTCCCCCTTTGACTCCTGCACCATATTCCATATCTCCTTTTGCTCCTTGCTGTGTTTTTATTCCCTACTTGATTCCTTTTGCTCCTCGTGTTATTCTGCTTCTTCTGTCTTACATTTCCATGCAAATTTGTATAGGACTATGTTTTCAAGTGTATTGTCTGTTTACGTTTGACTTAATAAAAATTGTCATCCCCATTTTACCTTTACCGGCCTGCTTTGGAAGTGTTTCCCTCTATGTGCCTGTCAGAAGCATGTGCAACTTTCAAATTACTAGAAGTTGCCTTGACTCACGTTCCTGAGTTCTGTGTTTTTACTTCTACTACTGACACTTAAAGGTGAACTACTTATTAAGGCTATTCTCCTCTTGGTTGGTTGTCTGAGAAGTATGCCAAATTAGGATGAATAAGTCAGAATAGCCTTCCTGATAGATGTTTAGTCACCCTTAAAGATGGGCACAACAGCATGTAGCAAATAGGCAAAGCAACAACATTTTACTTTCACTAGTGGAGTCTAAAAATTCTAGTCTTCTGAGTTGATTCATGATTTAAATACTCACAGCTTTCCACCAGGTCCCTGGGGAATGAAGACCACAGTTTTCACTAAATTCCAAGCAGCATGAATCTGGCACCCGTGTGGTATTGTATACTTCAAACCAGTCAGTGTAGTTGGAGACGCCACAGCATCTGAACTGGAGGGGAATAAGAGAATTATAAGTCACCTTAGTCAAGAGGCCTATTTAAGGATCAGGTTCAGTGGGCCCAGCATGCCAGAACACCTCTGGACTGCACATCTGGAAAGAGGAAGTATTATACCTTGTATTCAAATTTATTCATTTCTGAATAAAACATTTATGTGAATTTCTCCAGATTTAGTTCACTTACCTGAGAAATTTAAGAGTGTCCCAAATCTATTACAAGCAGTTGTCCCTGAATGACTCTAATTGGGACTTGAATTTCCATCACTAAGTGAAGTGGTCATTAGGTGAAACATCACATGAGTACTCTGATTAGTGAGGGCAGTTCTGATAGTCTTGGTTGTGGCCATTAGGCCAGAACCACACTGTTGTTAGTCAAGGATTTCACATTTTTCCTGCCCTATTGCATTTACCTCCACTTCAACTCCTCCCAATCTCCTATTTCCCTATCTCTGTTCTTTTGGTCACCCTTACTCTGGTCTGCAATCTCACAGTGATGGGATTCAAAATTTTTTACTACTGGTTCTGTGGGCGTGGTTTAGTGGGCATGGCAGGGGAAGAATACCCTAAAATCTCCAATCAGAGGTGGCATTTGCCGGTTCTCTGAACTACTCAAAATTTCCACTACCTGTTCTCCAGAACTGGTCAGAACTTGCTGAATACCACTTCTGCAACCTCAGCTCCTTGCACTCCATTGCCCCTGCCATCCAATGGCATCCCCAGGTGACTTTTGCCAACCTCTTCCTCTTGCTGCTGATGAGGTGACCCTTCATGAGCTGGTCACGTGCAGCCTCAGGAGGGCCTTGTAAGGCCTTGGGCGGACGTCACAAATGGCCAGGCTGGGCAAACCTTATCATCACTGGGAAGCAGATGGTAAAAGTCAGCTGGGGCCAGTGAGAAGGGTGTTGGGATGGCGGAGTGCAGGGCTGTGAGGCTGCAGGTCAGGGCAGCAACGGTAGAGTGCAGGGAAGCCAAATGGGCAAAGATGGGAAGGATACAAGTGGGTAGGGATTTAAGTGTAACCTGCAGTCGTAATTGAGAGCAGGCTAACAAGCTCATGAATTTTGATCACATAATTGTGGAGCTGTGGTAACAGCTGTAAGTACAAGGACTGGTTGTAAACTTTCAGTACCATTGTAACTTCAAACAGTTGCTAAAGAAATGGTCATAAGTGAGGACCACCTGTATTGGCGACTCAGTTTCCTTGTTATATCAGAGAGCCCAGGCACTTCAGAGACTCCATGTCTCTTTATATCCATTGTACTATCAGAACATCCAAGGGATAACTATTGTGTAAGTGGAAGATCACTTTGTTTCCAGATAATCCTATACCCTTTAAGACATTCCATTAGGGTATAATATGTAGGGGAGAGAAAAAGAGTAAAAAAATGCCCTTGAGTTAATCACCATATTTCTATTCATTCTGAAATGCTCCTAACCAATAGTTCTCAACCTGTACTCAACCTGTGCTCTGTGTCACAGAGTGGGGGGCATGATGGCTTGAAGAAATGTTATGATTTAGATATTGAATTAAGTCTTGAGGTCCATGGCCCTGAACCATGGCCACAAAAGATATTTAAAGGGGGTTCATGGTGGAGAATAGGTTGAGAACCACTGCTTGTTCCAAACATGGTTTGGAAAGTTGCTGAATGAAGTAGATGTCTTGTCCTATCTTTGGACAACAGAACAGCAAAAGAACTAATCTTCAATCATGTGGAAACTAAAGAAAACATTTTTTATCAAATTCCATGCATTTTACAATACAAGTGAAGAGGACTAGAATTACATCAATGGGGGGGAAAGGCTAAAAAAAATGGCCACTGTTCCTTCTTCATGGGACTTAAAAGAGAAAGAAAAACTCAGCTCAGAAAATTGTTTGTCATAAGACATGATATTATCAGCAATACAGTTGTATTATGTTTCTAGTATGTTATTACCATGAAAAAAACATCGGGTTACAGCAATGACTATTTTATTAGATGAGATGTAAACAGTGGTGGAATTCAATTTTTTTTTTACTACCAGTTCTGTGGGCATGGCTTTGTGGGCATGGCAGGGGAAGGATACTGTAAAATCCCCATTCCCTCCCCACCCCACTAACCTGCATTCCAGCTCCGTTCTCCTGTGCAGGGCAACAAAAGGAGATCCAGCTGATCAGCTGGGACTCGGGCGGCAGAGAATAGATGAGTATGGGGCCAGTCAGAGGTGGTATTTGCCAGTTCTCCAAACTACTCAAAATTTCTGCTACCGGTTCTCCAGAACTAGTCAGAACCTGCTGAATACTACCTCTGGATGTAGACAAGTGGCTTCAAATTTATATATTCTCTATTTTGAAATTGCCTTTGACTTTTTCATGATCTGGGAACTGAGACTGAAGGCAGCCACATTTTCCAAATATCAGAGTGTTAAATGTTGTTTTACTTCCAGTGTAGCAATTCAGCATCTGGATGTGAACTTAGTTTTCAAGAGAGCTTTATGTAGATTGTTCTAGGAGTCCAATATCCTTTGGTGGACTGCAAAGCTGAAAAAAGGAACTCATCGCTTTCAGTTATGCCAGCCAGATAGCATTTAATTAATGAGCAGCATCCACTGGATGTGAGTTTATTTATTTATTTAATATGTTTTTACAGTTACCCATCTCATACACATGACTCTGGGCAGCTAACAATTGTTGTATTATTGAGTTGTGGGATAATGCTCTAGTTCAGTTCTGTAATTCTCAAATTATTAAAATGATTATTTTAATTGTCTACTTGCACATGAATCTACACACATCTGGCAAATTAGCATTCTGTATTGTTCCAAATTGTCCAATTTGCTTTTGCCTTTAAGGAAGGCTGAGAAAAATGAGGAAACTGTGAAGTTCCTGTGTTATTTTTGTTTCACGCTTTTAAAGTTCCTTGCCTGTTGTCCAAATGCAAGTAGATTTCTTAATGTACAAAACCATGCCCTCCAACCTTTCTGAAGCGACTACAGTCAAAGCCCCTGCAGTCTTTTATTGTCAAATATTGCCCGAAGCAAGTTGCCCATGGCAGAAGTGACTAAGGGGGATAACTGAGAAAAATAGTAGCTCTTTGATCCTGCCTCCAAGTACACTTCGAAATAGATGGGAAATTTGATTCTTTTCTCTGTACAGATGCCAAGGCGGTTATGTTATTTATTAACTGCTGAAGTCAAGTCTCATAATGAATGGATTCTGAATATGAATATTTGTGGTTAACTTAGCCTGAAAATAGGTAAGTTATCATGAGGTATCTGCAATTCTTCTCCGGTTCAAAATTTTAATTGAGCAGAGGATGGGAGAAAATTGACAGTATAGTGGGATTCTTTAAATTAACTTTTGTAGCTTTGTTGTTTTGTTTATTCAAATAAAAATATTGGGAACAGAAAAAAAGTGTACTAATTTACATTCCAGTATAAACAATTGTATGCAATCATATTAGTCATACAAGAAAAGAAAAAAGAAACAGAGAATACCAAATATTGGGATTAGTTACATTTAGTTCCTAATTATTTTTCAGACATAAATATTTAGAAAAGCAACATACAGAGAAACTGTGAGTTGGGAAACTTAGATTTTATCTGCTCATTGGAATGAAGTCTTCTATCTCATGGTTGGGGAAAACTTTCTGCATTTACAACAGGAGATCCAACAGAACCAATATTTCAAAACTGAAATCTAATTGTGTTGTTGAATAATCTAATTCTATCAACAAATCAAAGTATCCATATTATGATAATATATTTGAAATACAATATAACATATTCTATTTCCCCCCGAGTCCTGGTGAGCAGGTCACTACTCTTCTGTGGCCTCATGTTTTTTCTATCTTGGTATTCATAAAATTAATGCCGCCTTCTATTTGTGCAAAGTAACATGTTACAGCAATTTGGAATTGAGAATGTGCATTCATACAAATGTGAGAGGTATTTGAACAGACAATGTAGCTTCTTCAACTGGAAAGAGAACAAATTATTGGGATTGTGATTAACCATTCCCATTATGCAGATTACACAAAAACAGTATTAAACAGAGTGATGAACTGTATGAAAATGTAAACAATTTTAAATACCAGTGGAGAATACAGGCTAATTCAGGTGACCTGAAATATAGCTGCAATAATAGGACTATTTAATTTTTTTATCAACAGAAAGAAATTGGGATGCCTCATGTACATATAGATGACTAAATCTAAAATTAAAATGGACAGATCACTGCTTTTAAGAGAACAACCAAAGAGGTGCTGTTGTATAATCAATATAAGTTTTACTTTGTTTACTGAAAACTGTGCAGGATAGCATTTCAAGAGTTTTAGAATCCTTGGTAAGAATTTTGTATCTCTACAAAAAACATAATTTTAGATCCTATACTCCAATCAAGCTTGCAGCATTCCCCAAGCATATTAGTACCTATACAATTCCTGCCATTCTATCAAGCCATTATTAACTTTATTGTAAAAATATATTCCAGTGAGAACAAATGGTATGTCAATTCTGGAGCCAGGACAAGGGCGAGGTTAATCACAAGACTAAAATGGTCTCAACATCAAATATATATCAAACTCTCAAACTGTTAAAGTTCATTCTTCTGACTTACAGAGTTGGCTAATCAATGAAATATTTGGGATTCATCTGTATGCATTTGTATATGCATATATTTCACAGGTGTCAAACTCACTACATCACAGTGCCATGTTTCACGACATTTTTCTTCCATTGGTGGACTGCCAGAGGGCCACCAGTTTGACACACCTGATATATATATGTGTGTGTGTGTGTGTGTGTGTGTTCTTAGTATAAAATGGAAAGCTGATTAAAAAGTACAACCCTGATCTCGTGTTCTTGTATTCTCAAATGTATAGCTAGAACAACTATGTTCCTTCTCTTGATTGCTGACTTATTCAATAGTGCCTTGGATGCAAAAGAGGAAAGAAAGAGGACTGAAGAAAATAACTTGTGAACTTCTTTGTCTCATTTTCTCTCCTATCACTAATGTTATAGCATGATGATTGAAATGTGGCATCTCCTGTGTTCTGTAATTCCTTGTGGGATTTCCTATGTATTTTGTCTATCTGCGTGTATGCTTCTCTGCATACTGATGAGCACCAAAGCATCAAATTAAACCCTTATCTGTAGATTCCAAAGTAGGCTGGGGAAAGATCCATTAAACATCAGGGCCTTGATTCCAGGTCAGGTACAGTGCAGTGGTATTTGCTTTTATTTTAAGGCAAATGCTTATAGAAATCCAAATTAAATTATTTTCATTGGAAATTTGAAGCCAGGCAGATGAGGGTGTAGGCTTAGAACCCGCTGTTGTTAAGGGAAAGAACAACGAAGAAGTACAAGCTTACATCTGTTTGTATGATGCTCCATGCATTAGTTAAACCAATATTTCCATCAGTTCCGTACAAATGAAGGCCTTTCTTCAAGTCCCGCTGAGCATACTTATCGATCTGAAAATAAAGCAAATACAGTGATAGATAGATATATCTATATATGCATCCAAGATGACAAACTCTGTGAAATAGCACTTTTGGATGGAAGAGCCATAGCAACAGTGAAACTGCAAGTGTGACATATTAAAAAATACAACATGCAGGTAGTCTTTGACTTACAGCCATTCATTGACAGAGTGCTCAAAGTTACAACTGACAAAAGTGACTTATGACCAGTTTTCACCCTTATAACCATTGCAGTGATCAAAATTCAGGCAATACCACTCTATAAAGCCCTAGTAAAACCACACCTAAAATACCGCATCCAGTTTTGGTCTCCACACTATAGAAAAGATGTTGAGACCTAGAAAAAGTGCAGAGAAGAGCAACCAGGATGATTAGGGAACTAGAGACTAAGGCATACAAAGAACAATTGCAGGAACTGGGTGTGGCTAGTCTAGCGAAGAGAGGGACCAGGGGAGACATGATAGCAGTCTTCCAATATTTGAGGGGCTGCCACAGAGAGGAAGGGGTCAAGCTATTCTCCAAGGTACCCAAAGGCCAGACAAGGAATAATGGATGGAAACTGATCAAGGAGAGATCCAACCTAGAAATAAGGATAAATTTCTGACAGTGAGAACAATCAACCAATGGAACAGCTTGCCTTTGGAAGTTGTGGGAGCTTCATCACTGGAGGCTTTGAAGAAGAGATTGGACTGCCGTTTGTCAGAAATGGTGTTGGGTCTCCTGCTTGGCCGGGGGAGTGGACTAGATGACCTACAAGATCCCTTCCAACTCTATTAATCTGTAACTGCATTGTCCTGGGGTCATGTGACCACCATTTATAACCTTCTTAGCTGCTTTTTGACAAGCAAAGTCAATGCGGGAAGCCAGATTCGCTTAGCAACTACATGATTCACTTAACAACTGTAATGTTTCGCTTAACAACTGTGACAAAAAAGGCCTTGCTTAGCAATTGATATTTTGGGCTCAATTGCATTATAATTCAAGGGCTGTACAAAGAAAAACAAGTATCTGAACAATATATTTTCCTAACTTCCCTATTCAATTTTCCAATATTAAAAATGGTGACTGAAAATAATATTACCTAGTTATTATAAAGGCTTCCAGTTAGTTTGTCCATCAAAAATTGTTTTGTTTTTCTATACAGACATCATTATTTAGTATTTACTGGAAATTTAATGAGATAGCATCTGTTTTTTTTATTACTATCTGTAGTTTCCTTTATCTAGGTATTATTTTGGCTAAAAATCTATTCAAAAATCAATTTTAAATAGATCTAAACATTGTTAGAATCTTATTACTGCTTACTTTTGTGGCAAAACTGCTTTCTTCTGTTTTGTTTGTTTAATAATTCCACATTATTATAAGGAGAAAAAAATCAAGAAAGGGTGTGTAGAATAGCTTCATATTATGAAAGGTTTAACCATACAGTAGAATTGAATTTATTATTCTTTCCAGTTTATTTCTAATTTTGGAAATATTTCTTCAGAGAAAAAACAATTTGGGATGAATTATGATTTCCAGTGTAAGCAGTGGTGGGATTCATTTTTTTTTCCTACCAATTCTGTGGCCGTGGCTTGGTGGTTGTGGCAGGGGAAGTATACTGTAAAATCTCCAGTCAGAGGTGGTATTTGCCGGTTCTCCAAACCACTCAAAATTTCCACTACCGGTTCTCTAGAACTGGTCAGAGCCTGCTGAATACCACCTCTGTGTGTAAGGTTTTTTTTACGGAACAACTGAAAATCAGTGGTCATTTTTCACACAGTAAATATTTAGAACCTGTAAAATGCCCTAGTCTTAAAGAACTGAGAAGAGGGACTATGAATGGTGATAATATTTTTTCAGTATGGTAAGATGTTGTCTTGCTATGATATTACTACAGGGCAAATTTATTTATGAAGGCGCTTGTTTAATAACTGCCTTGGATAGCGACTGTAGTTACAACGGTGATAAAACAGTCGCATCTCAATCAATGCTTGCATTTACAATATTTACAGCATCCTTCTCTCTGTCCTATGCTCACCATTACGTACACTTAATACATGTCATTCTGTGTCTGACCTGTCCCCCCTACCAAACCCTTTGCAGAGTGGAGAGATTGCCTAAACAGGCCATTTTCCTGAGCTTCTTTTCTCAGCAGTGCAGTGGTGTCCCTAAAAAGTGCTAACTGCAAGATAACAAGCTCAATTCTGTGACCTTAATTGGTTGATTAGAAAGCTCAGTGGGCTCTCAGCTGTTGCCTGAAATTGACAAGACCCCTAATCAATTTCATACTAAAGGAGTTTGTTTGCTTCCTAAGCGACTCAGAGCTCACACCTGTAAATGCAGTGGGCAAACAGCCATCGCCGGTGCAGTCATTTCAATGTATATTCCTTGTTGTGTGTCTGCTTACTCTCTGATGACTTCCTCTCCAATGAAAGTAATTACAAACATTATTTCCCTTCTTGCTAATTATCCCAGCGCTGGGATGAGTGTTCCAAAGGAGAAGAGGGGCAGTGGATAAATATAGAGGGGTTATAAAATTTGCCCTTTTACCAGGCTTTTCCATGAATCAATTTTTTTCTACTCTTTGAGTTTGCCCTGTTGTTTGGATTGTATCCTTCTGATACCCTAAAGCAAAGAAAGCTGAAGTAAAATTAGAAGCTGTGGTCATGTCATTTTTCACTTAGAGGCCACTTTGCTTAGTGACTGAGTAGCTGGTCCGAATATATATATATATATATCTTTGGTTGTTCGGGTTTTCTCCCGCGTAAGATTCGAAGTATCTAGGCAACGTTTCGATGAAGTCTCATTCATCATCTTCAGGCTTCTGTCTTCGGCTCTTGCTTCTCAGAGTGATGTGAGATTGCAGCTGCTTCTTCCTTTTAACTGCTAGTGGGGGTGGGACTTGATTGCCCCCACCCAATCAAGTCCCCAATCAAGCCCCC